CCACCCCTCCCCCATGCACTTTGTGGATCCTTGCCCTTGGCAGAGCCAACCCCTCCAACATGCTCTTGGCCAGAACCCATCCAAAATGGTTCCACACGTCTGGCAGTGTGCAAGGAGCGCTGAGAGGCCAGCAGCACTCCAAAGTGACTCCAGTCCCAGGAACAGGGGGAGATAACCACATCTACCACTCTAGGTGTGACCCTCCTCCTGTGGGCAGGAGACAGAGAGCTGGTGTGACTAAAGGCCCCACCCACCAAGAACAGCTTCTCCAGAGACAAATACTGCAGTCTGGTGCTACTGCATCTCTGGTAAACACCTGGTCTGACACAACTCAAGCCCAAGGCAGCCCAAGACTGTCCCACTGACACAAAAGGGACCAAGCACTTCCCACAACAGACAGAGAGAGGCGCTGCAGACGACCGGACTGATGAAAAAAGCGGCTCAGCCACAACAGCAGTGCACACACAGCGCAGGTGGGAATCACCCCTGAAGCGGCAGTTCTGGGGCACAGGGGGCACTGCACTGCAGGGAACGACAGGACCTCTTCTTCCTAAGGCACTGCCCTCAAGAGCAGGAGATGCAGCTGACTTTCCTGACACACAGAAACAGACACCTAAGAAATCACTGAGACACTTAAGAAAACACAGAAAACACAGAAAAAAAAAACAACAACACAGAAAAGAGAATACAATCAGATATAAAGAACCCAAGAAGGACTAGAGGAAGGAGCAGGATGGATCAGTGACCTGGAGGACAGAGTAATTGAAAGCAATCATGCTGATCAGGTGAGAGGAAAAAAAAGTTATGCAAAATGAGAATATACTTAACATCAAGCATAGTAGCATTCACATTATTGGGATAAGAGAAGCGAGAGAGAAAAGGGTGCAGAAAATGTATCTGAAGAAATAATAGCTGAAAACTTACCAACTCTAGAGAAGGAAACAGACATTCAGATCCATGAAGTACAGAGAGCCCCCAACAAAATCAACTCAAACAGATCCACACCAAGATACAGAGTAATTGAAATGGCAAAAAGTAGCAAGAAAGAAAGAATATTAAAAGCAGCAAGAGAAAAGGAAACAGTTACATACAAAGGAAATCCCATAAAGCTATCAGGTGATTTTTCAGGTCAGAAAGGAGTGACATGATATATTTAAAATGTTGAAAGGAAAAAAATCTGCAGAAAGAATGCTCAGTCCAGGAAGGCTATCATTAAGGCTAAAATGAGACAGGGGTGCTTGGGTGGCTTAGATGGGTTAAGTGTCCAACTTTGGCTCAGGTCATGACGTCACAGTCCATGGGTTCAAGCCCTGCATTGTGCTCTGTGCTGACAGCTCAGAGCCTGGAGCCTGCTTTGGATTCTGTGTCTCCCTCTCTCTGCCCCTCCCCCACTTGTGCATGCTCTCACCCACGCTCTCCCCCTCAAAAATAAACAAACATTAAAAAAAAAAAAAAAAAGACTAGAAGGACACAGAGGCTTCCAGGAACTGGCTATTTGAAAATATCAAGAAAATTGATAATCCTATGGCAGTATTCATCAAAACTATTAAATAATTAAATAAGGAAATTGAGAGGGGGGTCAAATGAAGAAAATCAGAAATGAAAGAGGAGAAATAACTGACACCACAGAAATAAAAAGGAATATTAAAGGTTATATACCAGGAAATTGGACAACCTACAAGAAATGATTAATCCCTAGGAACATAAAACCTCCCAAAACTGCATCAGGAAGCAATAGAAAATTTGAACAGGCTGAATACCAATAATGAAATTCAGTCAGTGATCAAAAACCACAAACACACAAAAGTCCAGGACCAAACAGCTTCACAGGTGAATTTTACCAAACAGCTTCACAGGTGAATTTTGCCAAACAAATAACAGTTAATACCTCTTCTCAAACTATGACATAAAACAGACAAGAAAGGAAAGCTACCAGATTCTATGAGGCCAGCATTACCCTGACACCAAAACTAGAACAGACATTATGAAAAAAGAACTACAGGCCAGTATCTCTGATGAACACAAATGCGAAACTCTTCAGCAAAATACTAGCCAACTTATTAAAAAGAAAATCATTCACCAGAACCAAATGGGTTTTATTCCTGGGATTCATGCATAACTCAACATTCACAAACCACCCAACATGAATCATCACTTCACCAAGATAAAGGATAAAAACCATATGATCATTTCAACAGATGCAGAAGCAGCATTTGACAGGGTACAATATGATGAAAACCCTTAAACCAGGTTAAGAGGGAACATAACTGAACATATTAAGGGCCATATATGAAAAAGCCACAGCTAGCAACATACTCCATGGTGAAAAACTGAGAACATTTCCCCAAAGGTGAGGAAAAATACAGGGACATCTCACTTTTATTAAGCATAACAGTCAAAGTCCAAGCCGCAGCAATCAGACAATGAAAATAAATGAAAAACATCCAAAATGGTAAGTAAGAAGTATAAAAGTTTCACTATTTGCAGATGATATGATACTATGTAAAGAAAACCCTAAAGAATCCACAAAAAACTACAAGAATAGATGAATTTGGTAAGGTTGCAAGATACAAAATCAAAATATAGAAATCTGTTGCATTTCTATTCACTAATAATAAAGCAGCAAAGAGAATTTAATAAACAATTCCATTCACAATTGCAACAAAAATAACAAAATAGGGAATAAAATGAACAAAGGAGGTGAAACACCTGTACTCTGAAAACCATAAAACATAAATCTACAGATTTAATGAAATCTCTGTCAAAATATGAACATTTTCCAAAGAAATAGAACAGACAATCCTAAAATGTGTATGAAACCACAAAAGATCCCTAATAGTCAAAGCAATCTTGAAAAATAAAAGGCTGGAGGTATCATAATTCCAGACCTCAAGTTATATTACAAGCTGTAGTAATAATAATGTATATATTATGCAGAACTGTGTATATATAGTATATGTATAGTAATGTATACTATAGTATATATGTAGTAATGCATACTACAGTATATATGTAATACCATTATCATTACATATATGCTATAATATATATGTATATGTATGTGTGTGTATATATATATTTAGTACTGAACAAAATAGACACATAGATCAAAATGGAATAGAATAGAAAGAGCAGAAGTAAACTGATGATTATATGGTCAATCAATCTTCAAATAAGAGGCAAGAAAGTGCATTGGGGTAAAGACAGTCTCTTCAACAAATGGTGTTTAGAAAATTGGAGAGCTGCATGCAAAAGAATGAAAATGGACCACTGTTTTACACAATACACAAAAATAAACAAAATAAGGACCTAAATGTGAGACATGAAATCATAAAAATCCTAGAATAGAGCACAGGCAGTAATTTTTCCTACATCAGCCATAGCAACATTCTTCTAGATAGTTCTCCTGAGGCAAGGGAAATAAAAGCAAAACTGAACTATTGTGACCACCTCAAAATCAAAAGCTTCTGCACAATGAAGGAAAAAATCAACAAAACTAAAAGATATCCTACAGACTGGGAGAAGATATTTGCAAACAACATATCCAATAAAGAGTTAGTATCCAAAATATATAAATAACTGATACAACTCAACACCCCAAAAACAATTCATCTACTTAAACACTGGGCAGAAGACATGAACAGACATTTCTCCAAAGACCTACAGATGGCCGGCATACACGATAAGATGTTTAACATCACTTATTATCAGGAAAACGTAAATACAAACCACAATGAGGTATCGTTTCACTCCTATCAGAATGGTTAAAATCAACACCACAGGAAACAAGAACGTTAGTAAAGATATAGAGAAAATGGAATCCTCATGCACCATTGGTGGGAATGCAAACTGGTGCAGCTACTGTAGAAAACAATATGGAGGTTCCTTAAAAAGTTAAAAATATAACCACCATACAATCCAGTAATCACACTACTGGATATCTACGGAAAGAATACAAAAACACTAATTTGAAAGGCAATATGGACTCCTTTGTTTATTGCAGCACTATTTACAATAGCTATATTACAGAAGCAGCCCACGTGTCCACTGATAGTTGAATGGATAAAGATGATGTCTCACACATATTTGCCATATTCTCAAATTTGCTAGTTGTTTCTTATACAGTATCTAATATGCTATTAATCCCACCCAATATTTTTCATTTTAGTTTTTATAGTTTTGATGAATATCAGATTTATGGTTTTTAACCTTTAGAATTTTAACCTGTGTCTTATTTTTAAATTTCACTCATATATCTTCATAAGATCCTCATGCCTACTTTTTCACCTTAAGAAACACAAGGGATAGAATTATATTCTCTATTTTAATGTTATTTTCAATCTATTATATCATTTGTATGATTTCTAGGTTATTTCTATTGACTGAACTTTGTACTCATCATGGGTAATATTTTCCTGATATTTCCAATAATTTTATATTGGAATCCAGGCACAGTAAATGTCTTATCATTGGGTCCTAGATAGCTTTGTATTCTTTAAAATATTTTTTTTTAATATTTTTATTTCTAGGAGAGAGAGAGACAGCATGAGCAGGGGAGGGTCAGAGAGAGAGGGAGATACAGACTCAGAAACAGGCTCCAGGCTCTGAGCTGGCAGTCAGCACAGAGCCCGACGCGGGGCTCGAACCCACGAACTGCAAGATCATGACCTAAGCGAAAGTCGGACGCTTAACCGACTAAGCCACCCAGGCGCCCCTTCTTTAAAATATTTTTAAGCAGGGTAGGAACATGATCAGATTTGCATTTTAAAAATGTAAATCCGAATTCCAAGTATAGGGCAAGTGGGGAACATTTCACTGGAATTAGAATGCTCAGTTAGAAAACTTTTGTAGTAATCTAGCCAGGAGAAAAATTATGAGAGTTTAATCAGTGCCTAACACAGAACTTCCCAAATGGCAATCACTGGAAATTATTTGTTGTGCTGCATAGATTCCTAATCAATACATAGTAGTTATTTAAATTAACTTTTTTTGATTTATAGAGTATTTAATATTGGAAAGCAATTCCATGCTGAAGGAAGCTATCCTGAAGAAGAAGATAGTAAAGTCAGAAATTAAAATGCTTCATATTGACGACTATGGTAAAGTCTTGTGCATGCTATGTCATTTAAGAACAATTTTCTCTGAATCTTATAGTTTTACGTGTAAATGACTCTCCATCTTTAATATTCTGCTCTTTCTTTAAAAGAACTTCCTTTACAGTTATCCTTTCCCAAAGATTTTTCGGACCGAAACCAGTATGCTCTTCTTTTAATAATGTAAGTATTTTATTTGTTTTTGAAATGAAGAAGTCTAAAGGCTTTACAATTTTCATATGCCTCATATGACAGCATTCTGATTAAAACACAAAAGAAGTCCTATGTGTGTAGTTAACTGGGCCAGCTGTCAGTGGTATGAATTCATCAAGGACAGCACCACTAAATAATTTGGAGGGGTGTGTAATTTGTTTGTACTTCTTACCTCTCAAATTGAATTCAATGGTACCACTGGGAATATTGATACATATGGATTGGCTTATAGATGTCTGTTTAGCAATTAAGCCCTATGTTCACTTTTTTTGTTTTCATGTATATTGGTCTATTGTTTTCCTTTGTGATATTTTTGTCCTATCAAAGTTATGCTGGATTCATAAAAACAATTTCTTTGTTAATGTGAGACCACTTACTATGAGATCTACTCTCTTGACAAATTTTAACTGCACAATACTGTTAACCATAGGCACAGTGTTGCATAGCAGATCTCTAGAACTTATTCATCTTTCATGACTGAACCTTTGTACCCAGTGAATAGCCACTCCCAATTTCCCCCTCCCCCGGCAAAGGCCTGTCTACTCTTTGCCTCTAGGAGTTTGATTATTTTAGATGCTTCATGGGAATGGATTCATGCAGTATTTGACATTTTGTAACTGGCTTATGTTACCTAGGATAATGTCCTTAACCTGTATCTATGTTGTCACAGGTAGGACCTATACTCTTTATCAGCTGCTAGTGCAACATTGAGGAAACATTTCCATTGCTGACACCATAATGCTTATATCACTGCTGCCAGTTTTCCTTCCAGGATTCATGGCCAGCCGGAAGCATCCCCCTACTCCCCACCCACTCAGAAAACCTGACTTTCAGGTTTTTTCCAACTTGGAATTGAATTCATTCATACTTTCTATAAGATCACACCTTGACATATAGTATTGGACACAGAGGCCCGTAACATGTAATGGTTGACCAACTTGATACAGACGTGGCCTTTTATTCTCCAGGTTTATTCGTGTTTTTTTCCTTGTTAAGAAACCAGCCAGTATATTGCTAAGACGGTGCTTAAAATGGTCGATAATTATATCAGAACCTTAATAGGAAAAGAGAAATGAAGATAACATTACATGTTGACTACTGAATATAGAGGATAAGTATTCAGTCTGTGAAATCAAACCTCCTGGCTTCAAATTCCAGTTTGGTCATTGATTAGCTGTGTCCTTGAGCAAGTTACTTAGCCTCACATAAGGCTCAGTTTCTCCAAATATAAAACAAGCATTAAAATATAGACTATCTTTTATGGCTGCTTTTTAGGTTAAATGAAATACAACACGTAAAGTGCCACGCACATATGACTGTTTTAATTATTTTGGTTACAGTTCATTATTTGTATGTAGATTGCATTGATTTTATTTACATTCTTTAAAAAATAGAAATACATTGATAATTTTAAGCAGTTAAACACAGAAAATATACTTGATATTCTCCCACACTCCAGTATCTATTCCTAATGTCAATGCCTTGACCTCATCTAGTTTGTCATGCCCAGACTGTTCTCCTTTGTCCCTAATAACCAGCAGGCCCTGAAAGTTCTTGGTGGCTTGCTGAGGAGTTTGTTATTTGCTCTTTTATAGATCTCTTCTCTTTCAATTCCTAATTGAACTAGATGTGTGATTTATTGAGGAAAATATGTAAGGCATTAAAATGAAACAAACAAAAAAATCTTAACCTTATCTTCCGTCTCAGTTGTATCTCCCTTTGGGAAAAGGGGCTGTTCTTTTTGTTCATTGTGGGGGGTGTGGGGGGTGTTTCTCAGGGAAAAGAACTACTAGGCATTCTTCTGTGAAGCTTAGCTCACTTATTCAGATGGATGTGTAGGAAATTATCCTCACTTGCCTATCCATTGGCTCCAGTATATGTCACACATGGGGAAAAAGTACACAGAAGTTACCGATTCTGTCTGTAGCCTTGAGTCAGAGAAACTACTGGCTTGTTTTGGCATCCAATATGAGGTTTGGTCTGGGTGACTTTTAGTTTGGAAGAAGAAATTAGTTTGCAAGAGATTAGCACAAGACAATTTCTTTTGTTATAAAAGGGATAATTATCTTTTTTAGAGGAAGGAGAGTACAACAATAAAGGTACTGGTTTAGGAATCAGGTAGAGTGAGTTCAAATCCAGTTAAAAGATTTACCAACACACTGTTCAATTTTTCTAAGCTTCAGCTTCCTTATTCCCTCCAAATAAGTTGGAGATGATAACTTGGGATAATTTATAGAGACCTGTCACCATAGAGGATAAACCTTGCATGTAGTGTTCAATAAATTGAAACCATAAACATAGTTATTTCTGGTACTAGTATTTTTAATATTTAAAATTAGCAGCTTCCATAGATCCACCCCTTCAGATAGTGTCTCTCAGTCTGGGTGGTGCAGGGCCCTGCCTACAGACAAATGGCAACACTCAAAGTTTGCTAGCTTCTGTGCTCTGTGTCAGCAGATCCACCCTCTCCAATACAATCATGACCAGACCCCATACAGGGTGCTGTGGCCCTGGCAGTGTGAAAGCAGCACCTACAAAAGTCAGCACCATCCCAATGTGACTCATGCCCCTACGAGAGGGAAAGATAAAACACACACACCAGTCAGAGACACAACAGTGGGCCAGAGGCTGACAACTGGTCTGACTGCATGCCCCACCCACCAATGACATCTTCTCAGAGGACAAGCAGAGAAACTGCAAATGTCTGGTCTGACTCAACTCAAGCCCAAGGCATTCCCAGACTGGTCCACTGACACTACAAGGGAGTAAACACTGCCCACAACAAGCAAAGAAAGTTATTGCAGATGACTGGACTGAAGGAAAAAGAAGTTCAGTCACAATAGCAGGGTATACACATCACACATAGGAAACCTTGCCCCTAAAGCACCAGGTTATGGTGAATATTGTACTGTACAGCAGGACACTAAGATCCTCTTCTTCATAAGGACTTTATGTGCAAGTGCAGATGTGCCTGTCTCCCCTCACACACAAAAACCTACATGTAAAGTTAGACAAAATAAGGAGATAGGAATATGTCACAAATTAATAAGAAAAAAAATTACAGCAAGAGACCAAAGCAAATGGAAATAAGTAATATGCCTAATAGAGAATTTAAAGTAATGATGATAAAGATACTCATTAGACTTGAGAAAAGAGTAGAGAACATTAGTGAGACACTTAATAACATAAAAAAAATCAATTAGGGATAAAGAATACAATAAACTAACTTAAAAATATTCTAGATGTAATAAATAGTAGACTAAACAAAGCAGGATTGGATTAGTGACCTGAAGCACAGAGTAATAGAAAGTAATCAAGCTAAGCAGATGAGGAATATATATACATACACATATACTTATATATATATATATACACATACACATATATGTGTATATATATACAAACACACACACATATATATAATAAAAGTAGAGAACTCAACAATATAATCAAGTGTAGTTACATTTGCATTACAGGGATCACGTAAGAGGAGGAGAAAGGGGACAGAAAATTTCAAGAAATAATAGCTGTAAACCTCCCAAATCTGGGAAGAAAATAGAAATCCAGATCCACGAGGCACAGAGATTCCCCCCCCCCACCAAAAAATAATCAGCCCAAGGAGGTCCACACCCAGATACATAATAATGAAGTTGGGAAAAGTAGTGATAGAGAATTTTCAAGGCAGCAAAATAAAAGACAGCAGTTACATAAAAAGGAAACATGAAAAGGCTAATAGCTGATTTTTTAGTAGAAATATGGCAAGCCACAGGGAATGGCATGCCCTGATGTATTCCAAGTGCTGTAGCCAAGAATACTCTATCCAGCAAGAAAGGAATAGGAGAGCTAGTTTTCCAGACAAACAAAATTAAAGGAATTCATCATCACTAAACCAGTCCTACAAGAAATGTTATAAGGGACTCTGAGTGGAAAGGAAAGACCATGAGCTAGAGTAAGGAAAGTAGGAAGCACAAAAGCAGTGAAATAAGTATAGAAGTCAAGGAACTCACAAAATAAAGGGATGTAAAGTATGATGGCGTACACCTAAAATGTGGAGAGAAGAGGTGTGAAAAATGAGTTGAAAGTTAGGCCACCATACTCAATATAGACTGATAGATACAGAGACTTTATATACAAACCAAATGGTAACCACAAATCAAAAACCAGTGATATGCAAAAAAAAAAAAAAAACACAGAGAAAGTAATCCAAGTATATCACTAAAGAAAACTGAGTTATGATGAGAGAAGAGAGCAAGAGAAGATCAGAGAACTATAAAACAACCATTAAAAAAGTAACAATGACAATAGGTACCTACCTATCAGTAATTATGTTGATTGTAAATGGACTAAATGCTCCAATCAAAAGACAGAGGGTGAAAAATGGATGAAATAACGAGACATATCTATATTCTGTATATAAGAGACTCATTTCAGACCTAAAGATACGTGCAAATTGAGAGTGAAGGGATTGGGAAGCATTTGTCATGCAAATGGATGTGAATAGAAAGTCAGGGTAGCAATACTTATATTGGGCAGATAGACTTTAAAACAAAGACTAACAGAAGGTGAGAAGGACATTCAGGACACAATCCAACAAGAAGATATAACAATTACAAATATTTATGTACTGAGGGGTGCCTGGGGTCTTAATGAGTTAAGTGACTCTTGATTTTGTCTTAGGTCATTATCTCACTATTGTGAGACAGTATGAAGCCTGCTTAAGATTCTTTGTTACACTCTGCCGCTCTCCTGCTTGTGCATGTGCTATTTCTCTCATAAAATTTATAAATAAATAAATATGCATCCAATACAGGAGTACCCAAATACAGCAGTTAATAACAAAGATAAAGGAATTAATCAACAGTAATATATAATAGTAGGGGACTTTAACACCCCACTTACATCAATAGATCATCCAAACAGAATATCAGCAAGGAAACACTGGCTTTGAATGACACATTGGATCAGATACA